CACTGTCTGATGTCTGTTTAGGAGCCGATTAATCACAATCACCACAAGTGTTTTGTTCATGCTCCCAACTAGCCAGTCCTTACCGAGGGCTTTCACCTTCTTCAGTTGTGTTTCACGAGGCAGCGTCACTGTGAGGTGTGCTGCCCCACAAGTCACCAATGGTGACACTGCTGGTGGTGACGTTGATGGATTATCGCAGACAGCCATGCCTGTCATGTTCTCCTTCAGCAGACGGTCAAAATAATGGAGTTTCAGTGGGTGGAAACCATTTCCATCTCCAGTCTGGGGATAGATGAAATTGCCATTAATTGTAACAAAAATCAAAAGTTCTGATTAATTCTGAAGCAAAGATTGTTTTCCCACCCATGGTACAGGCTCATAGTTTGAATCACTTCAACACGACTGCTCAAGAGCAGCAGCACCTCTAGTTTCTAATGAGGTGACTCGTAATACAAGCCCCTTTCAAACATGCGCCTTGTTGCACATGTAAATCTTTTAAAAACCAATTCACAAAGTTAAAATTAACACACAACAAGCCTTGACAAATGCTATCGCAGCCTGGAGAGGAAAAATCTGTTCATTGTTGGTCTTGAGAGATTTGTTAAGAAAAATACAGAATATTGGAAGCCTATGCTTCTCAAGGTTTCACTGTTCCAACATCATTTATTTCCCAAAAATATGAAAAGGGAAGGCAGCTATTAGCATACAGCTAATTCTAGCCAATGGTTCAGGGACAGGAATAACTGGAAGTCACACCAATAATTAATGCAAGGTATCATGGGCTAGGAATAACATGATCAGATGGAGTTTGAGAAATAGCACTCAGTTTGGACAAAGAATTAAACATTACCTGCACTGCTGTGTGGCAGCCAGTATAGGGAAGCTTCACCAGTAACCACCACTTATAAATCTGAATCGAACTGTGACAACTGTCTGGCAGCGACAACAAATTTGCGCCATCTGTGCGAAAGATTGGGAGAAACATTAGATTTCTGACAAGAGCAGTCACTCCATTTTCTAAAAGACAAAAACATATTGCGGGTGGTTGAATCAAACATACCTTCCAGGTGCAGATTTGTGTATCGGATGAGTGAAAAGCGCAGGAAGAGTGTGCTATTACTGCAGCGATACTGTGGCTGGTTGAAATCTGATTTCTCTGGACCTTTTCCACTCCCTGGAATGAGAAAAACAATTTAAAAAACAAATTATGCCTGAAGTTAAAAGGGAAAGTTTATTCACTTTCTTGCAAAGAGAGAAAATGTATAAGATAGTGCCAGAAATAAATCAGCTTAGCACAAACATTGAAAAACAACTAGTCTGGCTGTGTCCTAAAGTAACAATCTGGCTACTGACACTTCCAAGTTCACTAATAAAGATGTTATCTCTAGTTTAACCCATACAAAAATTTAAGTGTAGAAACAACAAATTACCACTGGGGATTATTGAGCCATCTTGACTAAAATGAACCATCTACCAAATGTATGTTCATTAAACCATTAATTGGTTTTGAAATGGATTTTAACAAAGAAGTCATCCTGCCCTAATTGATATCAGGCCTAAAAAAAAAAAAAAAAAAAAAAAAAAAAAAAAAAAAAAAAAAAAGAATAAAATGTCATATCAATGATGCACTGGCGTGAAAAAGAAGTACGTAAGTAAAAAGTCAAACTGAAAATGCTGAAATTTAATTTTAAATTGAATTTTAATTTGTAATGCAAAAAAAAAAAAAATTTTGCATTGAGACATGGCATGAAGAGTGGGATGGAAATAAAATTGTGTAACAAGACCTTCAAGGTTAAATTAGACTAATTTTCGATTTAGAAAACCTACAGTGCATCCATGTGGTCCGAAGTTTAGAGACTACTGGCGAACTAGGACAACTGGAGGTACATGGAGTTTGTGTTTTGTAGACGAACTGATGAACACAGTTTGAATGTGACCACGTGAGCAGCAGGTTTTTACCTTTGAGGAAATACCACACCAGCGCCGGGAAACTCCGGTCTGCTGGAGCCGCGTCCATCGGCTGCTCGATACCGGTGTAAAGCTCGTCCTGGCCGGCAAGACGTCCGTGTGCGTACCAGCGGCTCTCTGCGTTGTTGAGCTGGGCTAGAGTAAAACCGATCCAAACCCAAGCCATCAGTGCGGACTCCATGGTAGCGCTCCGGTCTGCTCGCCTTCTCCCTGCCGCCAGACGACACCAAAAATGCCGACTGAGAGAGGCGCTGCACCGCTGCGCCATTTAATCAGGTTAATTAGATTAAGCAGCTGCACAGGTGCGTTCCTCTTCCTCTTCTTCGATGACGTTTAACGGCAGCTGGCGTCCAGGTAGTTGCATTGATGCCACCTTTCGGAATCATTCAGCTCCTCGGCCTGACTTAGCTCAGAGACACCGGCTGGATGCTTCCTAACAGGTACGTTCTCACGTGGACGTGAAGTTTGGTTGTGGAAAGTATAGTTAGTCTTTTTTTTACGGATTTGTTGAGATAGAGAGTAAATCCTTTGCAGAGAAGAGCACAGGATGGTTTACAAATGTCGTTTACATAAAAAGTCTTTGTATATCAGACATTAGTGAGGCAAGAGATAAAATGGTGAAATGTTGAAGAGTGTAGTTGATGAAGTGAAAGGTATTCTGACCCTGTGGAAAGGGAGAGGTCTCACTTTGAGAGGAGGGGTCGCTGTCAGTAAGCTTAGTATGGATAATGTCAAAAATCATTTTTTTGATCGATCTATATTTATATTTTCTATAAACAATATGGTCTGTATTTTTGACGGGTTAGGGTAGAAGATCAGCAGGGATAGGCCTGGTTAGTACTTGGATGGGAGACCGCCTGGGAAGATTAACCACTGCTGTAAACTTTTTATCCCCATGTTTCATCAGCAGAGGGCGCTGTTCTTTCTTTGGTGGAGAGGTATCAATTAGCAGCACTGTAAACTGTACTGGGGAAATGACTCAAATAAAACAGTAGTACAATACAAAGCACATAGTCCAGACTGCCAAATACGGGCGACTACCAGAAATGTCTTGCAATAATACATCTTTGTTGTAGTTCTGAAATATATTATGTATGTTTATATATATTACCTGAGGAAGACACAAAACGTTGTTGTGTCTATGTAGAAATTTAGGAACAAAGAAATAATAGTTAATGCTGAATTTTCCACAACCTGGCAACCCCTTAGTTGTTTTCATTACTAGTAGCATGTAAGAAAAGTACGGTAAATTTGTAAATTAATTATTAACAAATTAATAAAGCTATTAATTGCAGCTTTTAAAGCCTTTATAAAATGAGACTTTATTAGAAACTGGATATTGAGTGTTTAAATGTGAAAAGAAAAAAATAAAACGTGAAAATCTGGTGTGTGTATGTGCGTAATGGTGGTAGGGGTAGGGGGTTATTAGGACTTCATATCTTGTGTGACACACACACTACACAGAAGAAAAGGTATTGTCAGAAGTGGGATTCGAACCCACGCCTCCATTCGGAGACCAGAAGTCCCGTTCCTCAGGAAGGTTTGTCACCTTGAGTCTGGCGCCTTAGACCGCTCGGCCATCCTGACAATTGTGCTTCTATGCCCGCGAGACGGCTGTTTGACTGCTGCTCAGTAATGTCTACCGACACAGGGGTTTCTGCTGGTTTTCAGGAAATTAAATTCCTCTTATAATCCTCTGTAAACTCGTATGAGTTAAACGTGTAGTGCCACATAATGTGACATTACCACGGAAGACTTGCTGATAACTTTGACACTTAACACTGTTAAACTTAAAGAATAATCATGACAGATCAACTTCTAGAGAAGCTATCAGACTACACGTGTTACAGGATTGGACCTGTTCGTGGGATTTTATGACAACAAATCGAGAGTATCGCCACCATCGTCATTTCGAGGGAACGGGGAGGAAAGTCACGTTGTCACCACCAATATTCAATTCAGGAAATACTTTCAGGTGTTGTATCATCTATAAAAGGCCCATGTGCATGAGGAGTTGTAGCTTACGGCCATACCACTCTGAACACGCCCGATCTCGTCCGATCTCGGAAGCTAAGCAGGGTCGGGCCTGGTTAGTACTTGGATGGGAGACCGCCTGGGAATACCAGGTGCTGTAAGCCTTTTATCAGCAGAGGTCGCTGCTGCAGCATCTGTAGTCAAGATTGGTAAAACATCATCAGATCTCAGGTCCCCTTCCTTGTGCACTTAAAGTGAAAGTGATGGGGACAAAATCCATACTTCTTGTTTCATGCAAAAAAGTTGATGTAAAGCTGATAGAAGGTTTAGCAGTCTGAGTTAATCAAATGAAAATCAAATAAATGAAGTCGAGCCTTCTTGAAGACTTAAAAATAATTTTCTTCCAAAAAGGTATGGAAGATACTTTAGTTGCCTACAGCTCAGACTGCTGAACTGGTAAACTTGGAAATGTGAATTTGGACAAAACCTCCAATGAACAGTCAGTAACCCGTAGTGACAAAGTGAAACCATGTTTTTTAGACATTTCTTGCAAACGTATTTAAAATAAAAATTACGAAAATGTAATCTCTCATATTACAGAAATATGAAGGCGAGGATTGGTTCGTTGGTAATCTAAAATTGTTTGTACCTTGTGAAAGCCGTTTGTCAGACACATAATGAATGTACCACAGGTGCCAAAAGTTATTGTCAGAAGTGGGATTCGAACCCACGCCTCCATTCGGAGACCAGAAGTCCCGGTACACAGGAAGGTTCAACCTTGAGTCTGGCGCCTTAGACCACTCGGCCATCCTGACAACTGTATGTATCGCCGCCGAAACAGAAGTTTAAGTAATTTACAATTCTACGGTATTGTTTTTATCTGTTATTATATTTCTTTTTCGTTCAATGAAACCCTTCATTTTCACACATTAAGCTAACAGAATCGAGTACTGAGTCCTTATTTATATGTACTGACAGTAATAAACATAGATACCCACCGGGGGCGCCACGAAGTTGTTTATGATTTACTTCCGGCGGTCACACACGTGACGCCCCGCCCCTATTACTACATAACAACCCTCAGTCATTCTTATGAAACAAAAACATTGGACTGTGTCCACTGTGTCGTTTTTAACAGAGCACCTTAGTACACAAACCGAGAAGGTATATTTCTGTTGACGATGTCGATTTATAGGAATGCCGTGTGGTTTGTGAAAGGACTCCAGGAATATACAAAGTAAGTGGAGCGTATCATTTCTATTGAGTGAAGTAGTCAAAGGTCTTGTAGTGTACGAGGTTTGCGCAACATTTACCTAATCCTTCTTATGTAGTCTTAGACCCGAGAACTGCCTTTAGACTGCCATGTCAAGGTTAAAACCATATGTTGCTTTGTTAGTGATAATATTCAGCTATTATGGTTGTACAGTATGGTGCACTTTCTAGTTAACACAACACTGTACGATAGCCTTCATACAGGGCTGCAACTAGTCAAAAAAAGTCTTAGAAATCACTGAAGTCAGTTTTCTCAAAAAGAAAAAACAATGCCTCAGACGGTATTAAAATTCTTCTCTATTTTTTCCATGTTATGAAGCTTATCTGAATCTTTTAATCGATTATATTGTAGCGTCCGCCAGGACGTGTCGGAAGGACGAGTGCAGCGTTAACCAGTTTAACAGTTTATTACTGAACAAGATGGGTTACTGTCGGCCGTGACCACGCCAAAACCACTAACTCTCCGGCATTAACTGTCCTAATGCTCAACATGTGCTCTTCCCTTCAGCATGCTCTCACACCACCACCTGCACGCGCACGCTCACGTAGCTCATGCACTCGCACCCCGCCCCTACCTGTTCTACACCCACAGGCCGCACAACATCATACAGGAACATTACCGCAGGGTCGCTACAATATCATCAGGAATTATTTTTATACACTGCTGGGAAGTACTGACAATAATTCTACTGGTTTTCCAAACAGACAAAAGTGTCACTTTCATGAAGATAGAGGCCGTCAGGTTTCTGCTTCTTCAGTGATCACTCTATTAGAGAAATTATTGCCTGTTTTGTTTTTGACTAATAGCTATTGACTAATATTCCTACCTATATCTATATTCCCTTTAACACATTTTAAAATAAAATTCATCTGTACTGACGCAGTTTGTTAAAGGTGGACTTTAGGAGGAAACAGCTTCTCAGAACAAAGTAATTCATGAAAATATTGGAACCAGCAAATGTTAAGTAGTTCTGCTTGAAAAATGAAAGAAAACAATTAATCAGTTATCAATGTAGTAATTAAACTAATTGATTAATTTGACTGAGTGTTGCTGTTGCTGTTTGAATGTCTGCAGGAAAGAAAAGAAGACACCTCAACCCTAACACTATCCCTCAGTGTCACAACATAACATGCACTGATATTGGTGCCAGTGTGCATTTGTGTGGTGCATTCACTGTACTCCTCATTGCTCCTGACAGGGGCGGCTTTGAAGCTGCAGCGAAGCATTTTGCTCCAGCAGACCTGGATGTAAACCTGAGTGGGAGGTCCTTCATGATAACAGGTGCCAACAGTGGGATAGGAAAAGCCACAGCACAGGAAATTGCCAACCGAGGTGAGTGCTCAACTGAAGTCAGTTCGGCTTTTAGCTCTGTTGAAGTGCAGGACAAGTCAGCCTCCAGCTTTTATAGTTAGAGCTTTTCAGGGCCCCATTTACACCTGATACTAAACTGTAATCTGTATCTGGATAATGACATTTGATCATTTGATCCCCAGACCATTGCATTGACACCTGGTGTTAAAAAGCAATCTTGTTATCTTGATTAGACTTGTATTATGATCAGATCTCGTTATGCAAATTAGTTAGGAAAGTAGTGCCATGAAAGGACACCATTCAGTTTTAGATCAGCTGATTTTTATAGCTGCTGCCACTGCTTGTAGCTTTCACTGGGTTTGCTTAAACAAGCAGGAAGAGTTTTATTTTCTTATGGATATGATCATACAATTGCGTTTATATTTTTTCTGATCTGGTCACAATCTGAGCCTGACCACCTTCAAATGATATCTTCTACAAACCCGTCTTTTGTCATTCATGAATTTCCCCTAGGGGATAAATAAAGTATCTATCTATCTATTTATCTATTCACCTATAAAACACATTGAACTGCGCTAATTACAATTTACAAGTAAAGTTTCATTGATTGAAACCTCATCTGTACATCAACACATTTCTGACAATAACTACATGGAGAGGTTGAACCTTCAAGGCGCTGGAAGATACTTCTGCCTTGTCCACTGATGTGTTTTTGGTTCGTGTGTGCAGGAGGAATCGTTCACATGGTGTGTCGAAACAAGGGCCGAGCAGACGCAGCCAAAGATGAAATTGTGGAACGGAGTAAAAATCAGGTGAGGAATGTGTTGCATGTTGTAGAAGAGGGATCTTCACTCTGTTGCAGGATGAAATGGCAGTAGTGAGCATGTGTAAGAGGTAATTTAGACAGACACGTCATTACATCTTTTGTCCAGCAGGGAGCACTGTGGACTCTGCTGGAAACACTGATGCATGTGCATGTCATCTTCCCTTGTATGATCTTCTGCAGGGGTTTCTGGTCTCTGAGTCAAATGTTGTTTAACTAACAGAAAGAAGGATATTTACTTAATTCACCTGTGCTGCTTCTCCTTATTGATCTAATTGACTACTAACTAATTTAATTACTCGTCTAAGTCATAGTGCAGTCACAAGAGTCAAAAAAGCATTGAACACTAGTCAGAATATCAGAGTTTTAATAAGATAAAGTCTAAAGAAAGGCAGGCAGCAAGTTATTTCATATATGTTTCAAATATAATAATGGAATGGTATTAACAGCTGTCTAAAGAGGAGGGAAAAAAATCACAAATTTCTACAGTGGTAATGAATTATTTAATGGTGAAACTATTGAACGATTAGTGGAACGGAAGAAAATTATAAATTTCTTTTTTAAATTTCAGAATTAAATAATCAAGTAACAGCAAAACATGTCAATTATTGTCTGTTCACTGCTTCTCAAATGTGAGGATTTGCTGTTTTTCTCTTAATTTATTTCATTGTAAATCAATATTTATGAATATTTATTTTTTGGCTGTTGGTTGGAAAAATAGAGGCTACTTGTGCACATCACATTGGGCTCAGGGAACTTGTGTTGGCCATTTTCCACAATTTTCCCATGTTTAATTCACACCACACCATATGTCTATATAGCACATAAGGAAAATCTTCTCTTTTATATTATTTTCCTTTAAACATAAAGTAAAATTTCAGTCCGTATGGACAGAGGTTTGACAGTTGTTACTCACTTTCCTTTTTATTCCCAGAATGTTCACGTCCACGTCGTCGACATGTCCAGTGCGAGACAAGTGTGGGAGTTCGCCCAGAACTTCTCACAAAACAACAGTGTACATGTGCTGGTGGGTATCTGCAGGTCTGTCCTGGATCATCTGAAACACACACACACACACACACACACTGGTTTTTATTATCATTTGAATCACTTGTCGTGTTCACCAGATCAACAATGCAGGCTGCATGGTCAACCAGAGAGAGTTAACTGAGGAGGGCGTGGAGAAGAACTTTGCCACAAATACACTCGGTAATAAAAAGTGTTTTATAATACTAGGTCCAATGTAATGCCTGCGTTTAGGCAGTGATTCCATTACAATACATGTTTTGAGATAGCTTATTTCGAGAAATATAAACTTGTTTTCCTTCAAAGCTGTTAGCGTAAATGTTTAAACAAGAATTTTATGTAAATAGAATTGTTACCAATAATCAATGATAGACGATAATTTACTCTGCTGAGCGTGAACAGCTTTTCTTCTACATAAAACATGCATTCAACTTAAAAGATGTTGTGCATTATTAAGGATTTAATGCCCTGCAAATCATCGTGTTGTAGTTGTGCAAAGCTACATATGCTGGAGCTGACAGTAAGTGTTACTGAACTGTCCTCTGTGCTTACCTGTATTGCCAGGTACATACATCCTCACCACAGCGCTGATACCTGCACTGAAGAAGGTTGAAGACCCCAGAGTGGTGGGTTAAATTTCAACTCAAGAAAATGCTCCTCATGTCAAAAATTAACACACTTTGGAAAATTACTATTACTACGCCTTATGAGAAATAAGAATAAATACCTGCTCCCGTCTCCTCACAGGTCACGGTGTCGTCGGGCGGGATGCTCACACAGAAGCTGAACGTGGACGACCTCCAGTTTGCGAAGGGGGCGTTTGACGGCACCATGGCCTACGCGCAGAACAAAGTAAAGGGGACTGATTTACAGCAGCTGTGCGCCACAGAGCGGAACAGAAGTTATTGTGGCGCGTATCCGTGTTTGTTGAAGTGTTTATTGTGTTTTCATTGTGACAGAGACAGCAGGTGATTCTGACGGAGAGATGGGCTTCTCAACACAAAGATATCCACTTCTCCTCCATGCACCCTGGCTGGGCAGACACGCCAGGTAAACAAAGGAAAGGACAGATGGATATAATTTTGGTTTTTATTCTGTCCAGATTTTGAAATATCCATCTTAGAGATTTCCGTCTCCAACTAAATACAATGGAGGGTAAAGGAATTTTATTTTTTATTAGAAGATCATGTTTAAAAATTTAACTGTGGACAATTTTCATTTTGACTCTTTTTTTCTGGTGGTAATAGTAGTATCACATTAGCTAAACCTCATATAAACACAGCTGTGTAGAAATGATTAATAATTCATAGTAATAAATGAAAAAAACAGAGCAACAGCCCCTGTTGTCGCTGATAGTAAAATAAAATCACTGCTGCATACTTTGTTGTAGACTGTCGTAAAGATTGAGCGGTTAGACCAAGCAGTGTCTCTTTGTATTCACTTAACACTAAAATTTGGGAATTTACACCCCCTGAGTAACTCTTGTTTTTCTCTCTGTAGCTGTCCAGTCGTCCATGCCGTCCTTCCACGCTAAGATGCAGTCCAGACTGAGGACGGAGGCCATGGGTGCCGACACCGTGGTGTGGCTCGCTGTGTCTCCAGCTGCCATAAAGCAGCCCAGTGGACTCTTCTTCCAGGGTCAGAAACAAATCACTCTGTTTTTTTTTTTTTTTGACAGCTGTTACAGCTCCGCCTAACTCCATCTCAGTAATAGAGGTGGATGTCAAAGTGTAACTGAGCTGAACTCTAATAAACCAGCTGTATCCACCTGCCCAGCCCTTAACAGCAGGCTGACGTAGTTAGAGACTGGCTGGTGAAGAAAGTGGAATATCCAGCTGCTAGAGAGCCAGGTATTTTTCTCAGGGGGCAGCGGGGACATTGGGGACCTTTTTATAAGTAAATGTCCTGCACTGAAAAAATTACAAAAGTACAAGTATGTAAGTACTACTAGCCAAAAGTATATAAAGTACAACTACTAAGTGCCCTAAAATCCCAGGTGTAATTACTTACACTAACGATGGCTCAGACTCGTTAAGCGTCTCAGTGAGCGGTTTCAGTGACCTAGTAGACAAGTCACCTCTCAGTGAAATACAGCCATCGTTAATGTTATTAAATACACCTGTGCTTTTGCTGCTTTGACATGTCAACATATCTGCTGCAGCAAAGTTCTCTAATGCCCCAAGTGTTACACAACTATACTGTATATTATATTATTAGCACCTCTTGTTATTCTTCTATTGAGGTGGTTTTAACAAAAATATATCTTGTTATTTTGTTTATTCGGTAACAATCCATCATATTTTATGAGCTCATCATATGTTTTGGAAAGTCAGTTAAATGCATAATACATAAGTTACTTATAATTTGTTGCTTTAGAGGTTCCAAAGGATCCAGATTCAATAATCAGATGGATTCATATTTAATAAATAACTATGGAACCGTACAGACATTAATATTTGTAAGAACATGTTCTGTTGGAGGCTTTAATGTCTCTCTTTGGCTGATATCAAATCACTGAACCAAATGAAGGCTTCTCGTAAAAGGAGGAGAGTGATTGTGACATAATTATGATTCAGTAATGAAGGGCGATGCCTTGTTGTTCAAGTTAAATTGATCCTGTCTCTGTAATCAATTCACCCAATGTTAGTATTTTGTCTAACACATACTTGTGGTACAGTGTCTCCCCTGTTGTCTCATATATTTCCATAAAATTTCCTCCAGATCGTAAAGCGGTGGCGACACACCTGCCTCTGGCCGCCTCCAGGTCCACGCCACAGGAGGAGGAGAAGCTGCTGGCTGCACTGGAGGAGTTCGCCCTCAAGTTCAAACCTTAATATCGCTGCAAAAAACCAAGCACTCCTCACTAATTGTTACTGTTTACACAATCATGTCTTTTTTTAATTCTTTCAATATACAAGACACATTTTTTACTTTTCTGACTGATACCTCAAAGAACAGGCCTTTCAAAGTGTAGTCAAGGTTGTTTTCAGCAAAGAGGCTTCGTGTACAGATGTTGGGTCTTTTCTGTAATTGGCTGAAGGGTGATTTTTAAAAATACGCTTAATAAATTGCTGCATATTGTATTTATACAGCCTATGGGGAGAAATGTAGAGATCGGGGATACTTTAATGTATATTTAACACAAAATGTAAATCTGTATATTCATTTCTGTAAAACATATTGTTTCATTTCATTAAAAACATTTGTGATAAATGTCTGTCTCCTTTCACAAGCTGGGCAGAGAAAGAATCAGGGGGCTGGACGGATTCAGCTTCAGGTCTCAGTTTTAAGCTCTTACACAGGCTCGGTCTCTGCCATACCTTCATCTGTGAACTTGGGAACGTTTCCTCATTTTTAAATTTCACAAAAATACTCAGGATTCATACGTTCTCATCCTGAGAACAACTCAGTATAACACTGAAAACTCAGTAGCTGCTCCCAATCTGTAAATGAGTTAAACTGATAACACGAGGGACAGAAAATTCATCAATGAAAACAAATTAATCATTTCTGTAGTTTCTTAAGTAAAAATATCATATCTGCTGCTTCCAGCTTAAAAGTGAGGATTTACTGCATTTCTCGTTTCGTATCAAAGGAATACCTTTAATATTTTGGACTAAACTAATAGAAGATGATTGTTGTCTAATAACATGATATGATTATGTGCCAATATTTTTTAGTTTATTGAGAAACCCCTAAGTAAAGTAATTGATATATTAATCACTAAAGTAATTATTAGTTGTTGACTGTTATGAATCATAAGACAATGTGTGTTTTGTTTGAGAGCTAAAGGGTATTTAGATGTCACTTTAAAACAATTTTTTCTGAATTTAAAAAGTGATTACAGACTGTAAATGGAGACTGCACTCTCTAAAATCATAACATGAATAAAAGAGTCTCCAGCTTTGAGATGAATTATGTTTTCAAACTTTGTCTGCACAGTGTAAAGAGCCACATCCATAAAAGAGCAAATGCTGAAACGTTTACTCCCAGAAACTGCAGATGAAATTGTGCACATGTAGAAAGGAGAAAAGAGAGAGTGTCCCAGAATGATGGTTTAGTTTCTGCTGGACTATAACAGCAACACTGATTCAACAAACACCATACTTAATCAAATCTGGTTTAGGTGAATACCTGCTCTTTTAATATATTATTTATACACACAAAGTTACATTAACGGTCACAACTGGCCTCAGATGAATGTATTTTCACTGCAACAAAAGTGTAGGTATTGTTTATGTAATAATTTTGTATCCTGTGTAGTCTTGGTTTTACATTTAAAGGACTACAACATCGATTTTGCACATTTTTGCACATTTAAAATCACACAGACTTAATATAATTACAGGTATTTCTTTTGCAAAACAAGCTATTGTGATTTAGTTTTGGTGTTTTTCTTTTTTTTGTTTTTTTTTACCACTCCAGGCAGCCATAGTTTTACATGAATTCCAGTACAGAGTGATTTGCCAATTAGCTGGAAGCCAACAGCTTCTTGGAATCATTGGAAAAATACATCCTAAAAACTGGAATCGGTACATCATGCATTAAGAACTGATCAGCGAAAAAGTTAAATATACATGATTTGTAGTTAAGGAGCTGAAACCTTAGTAAAACACTGGTATGGTCCTTTAAAATATCAGTACCCTCAGGCTCACACTCAGTTGACAGCTGCTGTAAATGTACCTTTATGAGTAGCTGTAAACTTCCTCACTCTTTCCAAAAACCAAGCTTACCAATCAAGCCCACAAATTTTCATTTCTCTTATTGTTGGAGATAAATCTTCAAGTTCACCTCATTTTCAATCAAACATCTTTGGAAAATATTTAGTGGGGTTTTAACATCAGAAGAAATCACCTCAGTTACTATCTGATCATTAAAGCACAGACATGATAATCATAGAAAAGAAAAAGAACAAAAAACGTCATGTTTCCTCTTCACAGCAGCGATTTGCGACGTATTCTTGTTTCTTGATTCCAGTGCATTGACATAAAAGTCAGTAATAAAAAAAAAAAAAAAACAGCTACGATGAGAACAAAATCAAAGCAAACCATGTTCAGGAGTTTCCTCTCAGTCCTGGTACAGGTACAGTGTTTATGTGCTGCCTCTGATTAGTTTGATGATATGTGCGTTTCCATGTCAGAAATATTTAGACCACACTTGGAATAATAAATAACGTCAAAGCAGCTCCACTGATGACAGGACAGAATATACAAAAGTACTGTTTTCAAAGATCAGCAAGCGGTCTGGTTAATTTACAGATGACAAAACCTGGTAGTGTAGTAGTGGTAGTGACAGGTGTACTCTTCGGTTTACACTGTGTGTGCTTACACTACCGTGACAAGGATCTGCACTCCCATCAGTGTCCATTACAATCACTTTACCTCTGATCCCCTGCTGCAATTGTCTGTAAAGTACAATAGTTTTACAGATATGTTGTACATCTGCCTGTTCCAACGTGATATTGAAGCTTCATGATGTGACACTGAGTGTAAACTTCAAACCAAAGATGCCACGATTCTTACAGCTGCAACAAATCTCAATGCCTTAAAAGTCTCACATGCTGTATTTTGTGTCTTTGAAAACTTTAAGATCTCTGCTAGAATTAAAACAAATGAAGTTCTGTGTGTCTGATCAATGTTTGGTTTGTAATCATGTACCAACTTTTAGGAGTTAAAGAGGTTTGCTTGAAATCCAGTCCATCTGTAACGCTCAGTGGAGAGGTCATTTGGTCCAGCAGCCACTCACACACTTAAACTCAAAGAAAACTTGGATATTCTGATACCATGCAGCTCAGTTCAGACTCAAGTAAAGGGCTTGTTTGTTAACATCCAGGGGCTTCTATGAACACTTTCCTCATTGTCACATTTAAAGTACTGTTACACCCACAAAGATGTGACTGATATCGGATTAGATATTTTTAGAAAGCTCAGGATTTCTTTGACTCACAAACACAGTGTGAGTGATGGTGAAGCACCTGAATGCAGGATCAGCTGATATTGTATAACCCTGCAGACATGCTGCTCCAGCAGTTTCGGACATGCCGATTCAGTCCAAACTGTGCCAGCTACCAGCAAGTAAGAACTGCAGATATGCTGCTCTTTAGCACCATCTACAGGCAAGGAATGCAACAGCTCCTGCAGTACTGACAAATAGTGCCACCTGCAGGTAATGACTTACAACTGCAGTGGCACTATGTGTCCTCTGTCCTACATGACTGATCTCCTAGTTAAATTACAGATGGAAAATAGGAGGTCCTAACCAGATGGCAAAGTGGTTTAAGACTTTTACACCACAATGTATAAATATAGAAAATAGGTCAAACAAACAATAGGTTGTTGTGCGTTTCTGTGTGTTTGTGTCATCATGGAAAAATGTGGTCCTGGAGATGGAGAGATTTTGTCACAACAGTGCAAGATACAGTCCCGAAACTTTACAGGTGTGTAGCTGAGATCAAAATGAAGGCTGAGTTCAAAGATGGGTGTGGTCCAACCCATGAGTACTGAGTACCTGTGTGATAAAGTAGTAGTAAGAACTGAGTACTCATAGGTCGGAACATCAACATGGTGACTGGCGTCGCGGCTGAACACATAAGCTCACCTGTCTGAGGGTTTGATGTTATGTATGGTTTATAGATTTCCAGCCAGGGAAACAATTCTGAATTCATTTACTAAATCCTCAAATTCATATCTTAACATTTGGTGCTTTACAGCCACAACCTCAATAGTATTTAAATTTGAGTATTAAATATCCACTGGAGATCAGTGTGACATATTGACGTTAAATTTTGCCTGTTACCTAATGTAACAGGTGGTGAAAAAGTCAAATGTAAAAGCTAAGAAAGCAAACACACACACAAAGAAAAGTGAAGGTAAACCTTCTAGCAGCCATTACTTTGTGCGTAGATGACGAGTCCAACGGCTGCTGCTGTTACTTTGCTTTCCTGTAGGTGGTGCAGGTTTTGCAGGTGTAAATCTGGTTTGACAATAATTAAACAGCCCCCTCTTGTGGAGAATCTGCAGCCTGCTAAACACGAGTTTAAATCTGTGAGCGAGTTGTGATCCAGTTCCATGAGATGCTTCACATCTTAAAAAAAAAAAAAGTCAAGTTTGTTCTGAGGCTAGTTGCAGACCACACTGCAGACTCTTGTTTTGTGAGTCTCCAGTATGTGGCCAGGAATGCATGGAAATTAAGTAAATAAAGTGTGTCAATTGCTTACACAGTCAAATGCCTCATCCCCTCCCACACACTCTTATACAGTACAGACACACACATATACAAACAGAGAGATCCCCACCCACCAGCAACCTGCACACAGACAAACACCCACAACCATCTGTAACCTTGTGTCAACCAAGGCCTGTCCTGTTCCCAGGCTTCACTGGCCTGCAGTGTCCTCACTGTGAACGTGCAACAGCCACTGCTTGTTATTCAGTAACTGTTAAATATTATCCAGATGACATCGATATTGTTGGATGAGCTTCTGTCTTTCTTTTCCAAGTGCGGCTGCCGCTGTTAGAGCCTCACAGTTTGGTGAACAGAGGTTCCTGCTGACTGCTGGTCATCCACAGACCTCAGGACACCACAGGAGTCATGTCCCATAGCTGCAGATAAAAACAAGACATAATCAGTTTGTTGTTCAAATAGAGACGACGCTCATTAAAGAGGTGTTTCTCCTCTTTCTTAAGTTGAGACAGAGATGAGACGAGAAATGAAACCTGATATATTGGAATATAGCCTAATTTATTATGTGGGAAATGGTTCAAAAAAATCCGTCTGGTTACATAAAAAGTTGCCCAACAGGGCAGACAGCAAGCTATTCTATCAACAGTGACTACGTGCAGTGATTCATAGTGATTTATCATTAGCTTTCCACCAAATTTCATTAAGATTAAAAGTTTTTTGATATCATGCTCAAAGCCGGATCACCTCCCAGGATATATACACAAAGCACATAGTGACTAGAAATAGGGGGGGTCGGTGGAGGCCTCCTAGCAGGTTAATTCAGCCTTGATCATGCTCAGTAGGAGACAAAAAACACAACAAATAACCTGACCAAAAAACCTAATCTTAAGAACTCAGGAGTGAACCCACTAAATGTGACTGTGTGCTTGATTGTCTTATCTGAGACTCAGGAATAAAACAGATACTATTTG